CCGCTGGTGGAATACGCCGCTTGCGCTGGACTGAAGATATGAATAGGAACGCAATGCGGGCGTATCTTAGGGCGAAAGGGAGTGAGACTGGAGGGTTTGCGTATCGGGCAAGGATGCATCGCTTTTTTGCTGAGCTGGAGCCATCTATAACCGTCACCGAGCAAAACCTGGCAGACCGAGTTCGGTACATCATGCGCTCAAAAATATTTGATGATACCGAGCTCGAACGACTACGTCGTGAGGCTGTTCCCTCATCGGATGAGAATGTAGTGGCTGGGGATACGGCCCCGCAAGCTGCGGACCCTGCAGGGTTACAAGCAGATGCGGAGGCCGCGGTTAACCCCCCGGCTCCTGTAGATTCGTGCGATGATGGAATAGTCGCCCAAGAAATAGAGCAGATGGGAAGCATATTGGAGGAGGCAATTCTGGAGGTGCGCGAAACGCCTCTCGAGAATCGACCACGTCTCCCCCGCATACCCCTAAGTAAGCGGAGTCGGTCTGTCGTGAGGTCTCTAAACCCGATGCTGGCAACCTATTTGGAAGCTAGCCGGGATCTTTGCGATACGGACTCAATTCTCTTTGGCGCTGCACTGGCAGTATGCCGAATCGTTGGCGCCAAACTTCCCAAGGCTGGACGTGCTACCAGACCAGGCAGCACTATCCCAGCATGGAGAAGAAGAATTGAGGACCGTATCGCAAAGGTAAGGGCCATCATCGGCAGGCTGATAAGCTTCAGGTCGGGCAATAATAGGCCCAGAATTGTGCGCACCGTTAGGATGGCGTTCGCTGGGACCAACATAAACTTGTCCCAGCCGGACATTACGCAAAAACTAACGGAGCGCATAGATGACCTGAAGCAGAGGATCGCTGCTTGGGGGAAGCGGATTCGGAGATATTCCGAGAGGACGGCGCGGTTTAGCCAGAATCGCCTCTTCCAGAGTGACCAAAAGAGGCTCTACAAATCTTTGGAGCGACCAATGAGTTGTGGAACGGGCCAAGGACCGGACCAGGCAGACACTGTCGCCTTCTGGCGCAGCCTGTGGTCAGAGCCCGTAGACCACAGTGAGGGCCCTTGGACACAAGTCGTGGCGAGCCAATGTGCAGACATTACACCCATGGACCCCGTCGTCATAACACCCGACGACGTATCCAAGGCAGTCCGTAGAGCCCCGAACTGGAAAAGTCCGGGACTCGACGGGCTGCATCACTACTGGCTGAAGGGGTTCGTGGTGTGTCACGCTGTGCTCGCCCGGCAGTTCCAAGAGGCTCTCGATCAGAGGTCGCTCCCGAGCCTCTTTACTACTGGGATCACTCATTTGGTTCCTAAAGATCAGGTTACCACAGACCCGAGTAAGTACCGCCCCCATTACGTGTCTACCTACCATCTATAAGACACTGACATCTATTCTGAGTATGAGAATCACCCGGCACATTAATGTGAATCGGATTATGTCTCGTACTCAGAATGGATGTCGGGGCGGCGGTCGTGGAACCAAGGAACCGCTTCTCATCGACGCGGTCATTGGTAAAATGGTTAAACGCAACCGTCGGAACCTCTCCGCCGCCTGGATAGACTACAAAAAGGCATTCGACTCGGTGCCCCATACATGGCTAAAGAGGGTCCTCGAACTGTACAAAGTAGACTGTACAGTAAGAGACTTCCTCGAGCACTGTATGGGGCAATGGAGTACGATCCTTTGTCATCTAGGCGAGCGGATGACGGCTGCGGAATACCGGATAAGGATACGACGGGGTATTTTCCAGGGCGACTGTTTGAGTCCAATATGGTTTTGCCTCTCCCTGAATCCTCTCAGCGTATTACTGGAGGGCTCGGGGGGAGGATTTCAGCTTCGGAGAGGAGGGACAAAAGTGACCCACCTTTTCTACATGGATGACCTCAAGTTATTCGCCTCCAATCGCTCCCATTTGATGGAATTGCTTAAAGTCACTTGTGATTTCAGCAATTCTATCAAAATGGAGCTCGGGACGGATAAGTGTGCGGTCCTTCATGTCGAAAGGGGTAAGGTCACTAATACGGCGGGCATAGACTTATCTATGCCCGTTAACATAAGGACCCTCTCTGAGGCTGAAACATACCGATACCTGGGCATGTCACAAAATATGTGTATCGATGAGGCTGGCATGAAACAGTCAGTTCGTGACGTGTTTTTTGCACGCCTGACAAAGGTGTTTAATAGCCATTTGTCAGGCGGGAACAAGGCACGTGCTTTTAACGGCTGGTCATGCCAGTCCTCATGTATACCTTTGGCATACTCAGGTGGACTCAAACTGAGCTCAACGCCCTGGACCGAAAAGTCCGCACAACTTTGACGTCCCACAGAATGCATCATCCGAGATCGTCAGTGATGAGGCTGTACCTTCCGCGGAAGCATGGCGGGAGGGGCTTTTTAAGCGCCCTCACCATGCACAATCGCGAGGTGTGCAGCCTCCGTAACTACTTTCTGGCGAGATCGGATGAGTCAATCTACACGGACGTCATTAGTTGTGATAAAGGACTTACCCCTCTATCCTTAGCCAACGAGCAATGGCAGGACCCGGGAGTACTGAGCGTTTCCGACCGAGAGGCTGTATGGAAGGAGAAAGAGCTCCACGGGAGGTTCTACAAGGCTCTACACGAGCCTTTCGTAGATACTGTTGCCTCCCTGAACTGGCTACGTTTCGGTGACCTCTTTGGGGAAACCGAAGGTTTTGTCTGTGCGATACAGGATCAGGTTATTAAGACGAACAACTATAGGAGATACATCCTAAAGGATGGCACCGTCGACATCTGTCGAGCTTGTCGCCATCCCGGGGAGTCGCTTCGGCATGTTATCTCCGGTTGTTCCATGCTTTCTAACTCTGAGTATCTGCATAGACACAACCTAGTAGCCAGAATCCTACACCAGGAGCTCGCTCTGAAATACGGCCTCGTGGAACGGAAACTGCCGTATTATAAGTACTCTCCGGAGGCCGTGCTCGAAAATGACCGCGCCAGGCTCTATTGGGACCGGTCCATCATCACAGACAGGACAATTGTCGCGAACAAACCTGATATCGTGTTGATGGACCGGGCACAGTCGCGGGTATTTTTGGTCGACATTACCATTCCATATGACGAGAACCTCGTGAAAGCCGAAACAGATAAGAAGACGAAGTATCTGGACCTGGCTCACGAGGTGACCGACATGTGGGGTGGTGTGCCGACCGAAATTATCCCGATAGTCGTGTCTGCGAATGGGTTGATCCCAGTCAGCCTCTCTAAACATCTGAGGCGACTGGGACTCCGGGACGGATCGCTCCAGGCTCAAATGCAGAAGGCGGTGCTCCTCGATACCGCCCGCATCGTCCGCCGGTTTCTCTCCCTTTCGCCCTAACCCTCGGCCGTTTGGTCTCCCCTGCCGAGGGCTTCCGTCTGGTTGGGTCCTATTTATATATGTATTATATAAAATATTTATTATTATTATTGGGGGGATATTCATTTGTTTTCTCGTCTGATTGGGTTTATAAATAAAAATAAAAATAAAGATATAGATATATATTGCATATATAAAATAAATATTATGGATAAAAATAAACATATATATATATATATATATATATATATATGAATAAATATTTATTATTATTATTATTATTATTATTATTTCAGACGTTCAAGCTGTGCATAAAGAATACAGTGGGAACTACATCAATAGCGCAATAGTACCGACGAACACACACACACACACACACACACACAGAGAAATATGTCCCAAGTATTTTATATTAAGTGCCGGCATCCTCCCTAAAAAGTTTCTTAGTAGGCACAATTGCAATGGTGTTTAAAAACTTTTCAAAAGGAAGCTAATCATGATTCAGCAAACGCGGGAAGGCGCTCCTATTAGTAGCATAAAATTATGGCAACTTGGCCGATTCTCGAGTTACAAGTACCTGGCCGAGCGCACTCGTCCAGCAATTCGCTCCCACCGTATGAGGTCCTAGATAAAGTATAAACGAGTATATGGAGAGTTTTGAAAACTCTTAGAAAGCATTATTTATGGGCGGAAGTTAATAATGGTGTGGCCCATTAAAGCAATTAGCTGAACGTTTTAAGACTAGAAGTTTGATATCAAGATACTATACAAGATACACATATGTATATGTACCCATATTATATATAATTTCTATGTATTTATTTGCCAAGGAAATTTATTTATTTCTTATATTTACTCTTCGGTTTAGCATCTACCATCTACTTCTCATCATGACAAGGGTTGACTGGTAGAGAATGCCATTAGGCATTAAGTCCGCCCATGTAGCCTTTAGCCTAAGGTGTAACAATTAAGTATAAATAAATAAAAAAATACTTCTACAATTCTTTCACCATCGTGGCTCATTGTTAAAAATTGTTGTCAAAAATCATATTCGCAGATAATTTTTCCGGTCTAGATTTATATTCCAGATTCTTTATAATTTTTATGTGAAAAGTCTGATAATTTCATCCTCTTAAATTATTTATGACGAAAATATTTTAGACGAAATGAGTAACAGAATGATTGCCATAAATTATTTGTACATTTAATATGAAATAGTTTTGAATCTTACAGTATCTGTGGTTTTTGTAAATACATTGATTAGGATTTCTAATACTTCATGGAGGTTGAAGATATTGTTCGTCATGCTGTCTCTTTACGATGGTATACAGATAAAATATGAAGAGTTAAAGATAAAAATCAAAACCGAATATTCAGTTGCAATTGATATATTTAATAGTAAAAGTTCTTTTATAGACATTTTATAATTATAAAATGTCTGTAAAAGAACTACGTGAGGTATATTTGTTGTTTGATTCACTCGATGTTAACAAACCTTGTACAAACACTTGAAATAGTTCCAATTTGTCAAACCAGTATGGTAATAAAGGCTGCTAAAAATTCAAACACATTTAATAATAACACAGTAATCAGTAAGGAGACAGCGATTCGAGATCCAAAGTAGTATCTAAAATTCATGATAACTCAGATCCATGGGCTGGAGAGACCAGTGTAAGACCGATGAATGACTGAAGTGTGGGCGACGGTGATTGGCGCTGACGTCACTTGCTGATCGTTAGGAGGCTGGCGAAATTGTTCGGTTTGAGGTCTGTCATTTGCTTGCCTGCTAGAACCATCGCCTGCGTTTTGTTCTTCTCGATCCGAAGGTGCGTTGTTAGGTCTTCCCTCGTTGTTGACTACTGCGTTGAATCCTGTGTGATCATCCGCTCTGTAATCAACGGTTCTCGTCACTCCGTCCGGCTGCAGAAGCGAATACTGGCCCAATACTGTGCCTCCTTGTCTGCTCTCCTGCTGTCTCTTGAAATCACCAGTCTGTGGGTCGTTGACTTCGTAAGCGAAGTTGTATTGCGGCGGGGGCACCTCATGATACTGGATAGGAAGGAACACAGGCAACTGTGCTTGATGCAAAACCATGCATGAAGCCGACATTACCAACACAGAGAGGACTATCACGTTTTCAATCATTATGAACCGAGTTAGCTTGTCTTGTATCCAACACTGTTCAATTGAGAATGTTTGACTGAAAGAACTGGATCCGAATATATATCTTGGATCCGCGTAATGTGAAACCGTATTTAGAAATACAATACACAGTAGTACTTGCTTAGTACATTCGTTACTTTCATATGGCAGCAGATTTCTCAAGGCAATGAAACATGTCCATCTAACGGTTAACTAAAATCCAGTATAATATAATAATTTCTGCCTTTAAAAACAATTTGCTCGAAAGCTAGGTTAGAACTGGAATTTGTTTATAGAGTGAATAAATGGAGTCAAGTTTCCTGACTTAACAGTGTCAGTTAGAATTAATGAATTGAGCTTTATAAATTTTCATACAGAAGTGCGATTTAGGTGCGAACCACCATTATTTGTTGATCATAATTATGATACAAAAAGATTTTAAAACAGTTTTCAAGCGTGATATTCCTTCTAGTTGTTCTATTTGACCATGAAATTAGTATTCGTCGTTTACTTTACTCATATCTTGGCACTTATTAAAAAGTGACCCGTCGTAGGACGCCTGTCCGATGTGAAATTATTGTGTACAGATACTATGCAGAAAATGATAGTTTATGAAAGGAAAGAACTATGGCATAGTCAACACAAAAAATTCAGATTTTTAAAAAAAAAGGATGATTGTTTATTTAATTACCATTATTAATTTATTACAGAAAATTAAAATTCTAAAACTGTTTCAGTGTCATGTGCTCATGGCAACGCGTCACCACGCCGTATTAGATGTTGTATACTCTCATATGCAATGAAGATATCCGCAGTAGAAAAAAGGTAACAAACAGAGCCTAGATGGTAAGTAAGGCGTAGTGGGAATGGGCTGGCTGGCGTAGTGGGAAGCAATTTGTTTAGTGGCAGCCTCGTATTGGCCTCCCAGTATATGACATCCCCCTAATAGATAATAGTGACATGTGCAAATGTGCGGGAAGTAGATGGATGCAGGTGGCTCAGGATCGTGTTAGCAGTCTGTGGGTGAGGCCTATGTTGAATTGAACAGACTCAAATGATCATGATGATAAAGCGCGGCGACGCATGACGTCGACAGTTGGTCTTTTCCGCTGAATTAGATGTTTCACATCAAAATCTGTGATAATAGGAATTGCCAGTGCTTGACAATAGTTTTAAATTATGACTTCAAAGTTTAATTTGTTTTGTTAAGTTTATCGTCCATAATTGATTCATTGACGATTACGATTCCGCCGAGTTTCTTTCGCTGGTTCTTCTCAGTTCAGTGGCTTCCTTTACGAACCGGTAGTAGTATTTTCACAGCCAATGAATGCGTTCTATTTTGTTCTTCTATACCTACTGGATAAAGATATTTGAATTTTAATTATACGTTTCGTATTAGCACTGCCCTAGATGTCTACAACCCTTGGTGGTGGAGTTTCAACTATCAAAAATTGGGCCCTGGTCGCCTCACCCCCCAGACGAAACATGAAATTATAATACTTCTAGTGGTAAGGACGTAATACTTCTCCGGGCTAGTTTGCTCATTTATGCAACAGCAGAAGCGACTGTGTGGCCCCAAAACATATAACTTACGTAGTTCAACTCTTTATGTTCCCAATTTGAAATTTATTGGAAAAGTATACGCATATGCTCACTTCTTAGGAAAGAATCACAATCTTAAGAAAGAAAGTGTCCTCTGGATGACTTTGGTATAATTACAGCAAAAAAATGGGATTAGGTACTGGCTAAAGGTGACTTCTTATACAAAAAGATGTCCTAGATAGTTATTATAGTGATTTAATACTACACATTTATAATCACGTATAAAACCTTTTCAAGACGTACCTAGTCATCAACCGCTCCTTTTTAAACTAGCATAATGGCAAGTTTATTAATATGTAGGTTAGAAGCACCTAGCCGAATGCACTCAACCTGCAATTTGCTCCCACCGTACTACGAGTAGCCTTTTCGAAGTTTTATGAAAAAGTTTACGAAGAGTTTTGAAAAACTGTTAGAAAGTACTTTTTTATGGGTGAAAGTTAATAATGGTGTTGCGTGTGTGATGTGAAATGAATTAAATATTAATGTGATAAGTACACAATTTTATGCCCAGGAAATTGATTGCAAAATCCTTCTGTAATTCTTATAAAATTTCGCCACAATGGCTCGTGTTAATAATGAAATGACATTATTAAGAATTATAATTCGTGAGAAACGCCTGTGTTTTGCACGCCCGTTTATTTTAACCGACATAAGTAACAATGTGACTGATGTAATATGATCCAATTCTGAATACCTTTTAATATAATAACTTCGAATCTTATACCTCCATATGATGTATGATGATATGGTCTATAGATAAAATATTCTGAATGAATTAATATAAAATAAAAAAACGAATACTCAGTTGCAATTAATGTAATATAAAATGTATAAAATGTATTTATAAATGAGCTACGTGAGGTGTATCTGGTGGTTGATCCACTCGATGCTAATGAACCCATACAAACATTTGATAATTTTTCAATCATCATCCTAGGAAAAGTTTATAATGAAACAATAGAATGTTTCATTATAAGCTTTATACAAAAGATATTTCTTGTATACAGAAACCACAGGAACACCTGTCCGTATCCACACATAATTCCAACAAAAATTCTAACACCATTGACAAATAATAGAATATGACGAGAGTACGAGTAATGGGTCAGCGGTTCGAGATCCAATGTAGAATTTCAACTTCATGTAAACTCAGATCCATGGGTTGGAGAGACCAGTGTAAGACCGATGAATGACTGAAGTGTGGGCGACGGTGATGGGCGCTGACGTCACTTGCTGATCGTTAGGAGGCTGGCGAAATTGTTCGGTTTGAGGTCTGTCATTTGCTTGCCTGCTAGAACCATCGCCTGCATTTTCCTCTTCTCGGTCTGAAGGTGCGTTGTTAGGTCTTCCCTCGTTGTTCACTACTGCGTTGAATCCTGTGTGATCATCCGCTCTGTAATCAACGGTTCTCGTCACTCCGTCCGGCTGCAGAAGCGAATACTGGCCCAATACAGTGCCTCCTTGTCTGCTCTCCTGCTGTCTTTTGAAATCACCAGTCTGCGGGTCGTTGACTTCGTAAGCGAAGTTGTATTGCGGTGGTGGCACCTCATGGTACTGGATCGGAAGGAACACGGGCAATGGGTTTTGATGTAAAACCATGCAAGAAGCCGACATAACCAACACAGAGAGAACTATTACGTTTTCGATCATTATGAATTGAGTTAGGTTGTCCTGTATCCAACAATGTTCACTTGTGAATGTTTGACTGAAGGAATGGGATCCGAATATATACCTTGGATAGGTGTAATATTAAACCATCTCTAGAAATATAATACGAACTTGTCTAGTGCATTCATTACTTTCCTATTACAGTCAAGGCTGTATCAGTTACCGTGTACCAATAAAATAAAATTGAATCTAATATAACGATTTTTTTCAATAGAGTCATTATTTTATTTATAGATAGACATAACGTCTAGACTATATCATGCTGTCGGACAATACGTTATAGGCAGTCTAAAGCCCCAAAAGCATTTTCTCTTTGCAGATGGTTTTTCGACTTTTCTGAGCATAGTCGCTCAATGTTTCTCCGCCCGATTAATAATAAAGGTCTTAATTTACTGTTTTCAACTCAGCAATTTATAACCGTGGTAGAAAAAAATATGAAAGCAATTTGTTCTATTACAAGAATCAAGGACACGGCGATCGTCCAGAGTGAACTTGAACTTCATGCTGACAGCGAAAAGTAGTAGATTTTTCAATCAAAATTTTATATATGAGTACGATCCACATATGCAAACGAGCCACATTAAAGCTGTGACAGACGAGAAAACCTATTAACTAGTGCTTACGACTCCAATCCCACTTCAACTTAGTATGTTTACTTCAACTTTATAGTTTTATGAGTTAAGATAATGAATAAATAATAATTTTTTTTTCATTCAATTTTCCGGAGACACTAATAACATAGACGAAAAAGTCTATGTTATTGTCTTTGACAGTGCTGGATTGCAATCTCAATGTTAGAGCATAGATACTGCACCTAAAATAACATAAATGATTTAATAAAGTGAATAATGTTACAAGTTGTTAAATGAAGCTATTCAAAGGATTTTACAGCATTTTAAGTAGTAGAGTAAAGTATTCTTAAGACATTGCCCTCACTTTAGGACAACATTATCCTGTGATACAAGGACGTTTTTACAAACATACATTTCATGTGGACAAACACCCAGATGCGAAACAACTATCTGTGGGTCAAAAAGAAGAGTTTTCTCATGTGGGAATCAAACCCACGACCCCCGACGCCGATGCCTTGACGACTACGCCACGTAGTCAACAGCATCAGCCTATACATGTCCCAAAGGGCAAAGGTCTCCTCTGTACAGAGGGTATCATAGGTAGAGCATATTTCACCACGCGGCCCCACTGCGGATTGGCGGACTTCACATATTTTCAAAATATACATATTTCTTGTTATTTTTTTCGAAAATATGCAGGTTTCGTCACAATGTTTTCCTTCGCAGCTGAGCACGTGATAATGCAGCACTTAAAATTTCCAATTTCTTTGGTGGCGGCCATTTTTAAAAAAGGAATAACATATTATATAGAATACATAGTTATGCATATGATATAAGTTATTATCTTTCGGAGTGCCTATAAAATATGGAGAATTAAATTTTATACAATTTTAATTTCGATTGCTTCATGCTTTCACTTCTGTCGACACACCCCATCACACTGCCTATGTTTTTTTTTTAAAATATATTGGTGCTGAACTTTCGCTGATTCCCTGTGGTGTACCTCACCTAAAATAGATTAGAATAATTCTTCTCACAAATCATTTTAATTTATTTCAGGAGCTGACTCTACCACTCTACTACGTGTGCAAAGAAGCCAAATTTAAAATCTTAAACGTTATTAACTCCGCATCGAGTGCTTTGAACTCGTTTGTAGATTCAGCATTACTTCCAAACCGATATACATATGGACATACAAGAAAAGAGCATAATTCACTCTGCTTTTCAACATCTACATCCGTTTACTGTTTTAAAATTAGAGGCAGTGGCGATGGTTCAGCGTCAATGGAGCCGATCCTCTCCTCTTCAAGAAAAACAGCAAAGGAACTCCCCAAACAGGCGAAGTGACATTCGACGCCTTGACATGCAAATAACGTCGGAGCCGAAGAATAAAGCAATCAGCCTTCCCCCATAATCTACACTCGTAATCAATTCCGGAGCGGTGACGTTTCGTGCGAATGTGCTACGCGACTCGTTTACGGGAAAACCGGCCAAGTGCGAGTCGGTCTCGCGCACGAAGGGTTCCGTACCATTATCAATAAAAACGGCATAAAAATCATGTCTATCGTATGGGAACCCCACTTCAATATTTTTTTATCCCGTTTTTTAGTATTCGTTGTTATAGCGGCAACAGAAATCTGTGAAAATTTCAACTGTCTAACTATCACGGTTTATGAGATCAGCCTGGTGACAGATGGACGTACAGACATACGGACAGCGAAGTCTTAATAATAGCCGCGGCCCCGTGTTACCCTTTGGGTACGGAACACTAATAATGTGATTGCGAGCTTGCAGGTTTCAGACAAATTATTATGGCTTAAGACGCTTGTACACGGACATATGTCTCGACTGTCTACAGTGCGGACAGCAATCCCTGCTTTGCAAACTGTCTGCATTTTAGGTTCATGGGACTAGAGTGAGACACGACGCGAAACCGTTTGGTTCGAGGTCAACTTTTTAGAGCAATGCTACGTACTTTTTTATTAGCTTGAATCAACAGCGAAAGTAAGATGCTTAGATTAAAGCATAGACTACTGGACGCGTGCACATATTAACATGTCACTTTACACGAAGCAACGAACAACCGCATTTATACGGGTCTATTCACGTAACTTAAATCGTGAACGTTACTCCTTCTACCTTTAGGCTCAATTAATATATGGTCTTGCACCACACTGCGAACGCCTCAAACGATACTATGCATTTTAGCGATGAAGTCAGTTTAAAATGCTTACTGTGGTAGGGCCACGCATCAGTCCTTGCTGTTGCACGAATGGGCAGGCTCGTCCGGGGAAGTACCACGACCTCACAGGATACCGGCGTGAATTAGGTGGGTTATACTTCTGCGTGTGGTAACCGCGGCCGACTTTCCCAAAAGGCGGATTCGCCATTGCAACCCTGGGGTGCTGCAGATGTACATGGGCAGTGGTTATCGCTTAACATCAGGTGAACCTACTCACATAAAAATGCTATATTTTTGAAAATTAAATCCGGGGCCGTAGTCGTGTGAATCGAGCCTTATATGTTTCAATCCAGCTCTGCGCTCCGCTCCCCACGATGAGGCAGAAATCGACAATGTCGTATGCCGAGAGTCTTTTGGGGTTTTGATTGTAAAGGACTTTTGAGGTTAGTTACAGCGCTTGTTCTTTAATTGGGTACGGAGCATATTACGGTAACTGAAATCTGCTAGTATTTTGATATAAGGAATTTCCAAATGGTGTACATTGCGATTTCATGTCTGTGAAAGGGATTATTAGCAAGTGCGAGATATTTTATAGAAATATAAAAAACTTTTAAAAATGCATGTATTTATTAACAAAAATAGTAAAAAAGACAATCACAAGAGGATATGTATCACAAACCAAGCATACAGATGTCCAAGACATCATCGATTACTTCCATTTGCATGACGAATCTAGATGTAATCGATTTGCTTCGATAAAAAAGTCATTGAATGAAGAAACAAAAACTAAAAAAAATCTCATTAAAAAGGGGCAGTAGAAGAATTATCAGCTTATTCAGTTTTCATGCCGTATATTGCCGTGAAGTGTCCATACCGGCCATCGAGTTAGATCCAAGAGTTGTGACCATTGGAGATGGAATGGTGTATCAGGGAGGTGTGAGATATGGTCAGCGGCGCGGGAGTCGCTTGCTGGTCGCTGGGGATTTGCCACGGCTGCTCCACTTGCAGCCTGCCGTTCGACTGTCTTTCGTTGTCGTTGCCGTTCTCGCTTTGCCTGTCCTGTCCTTGGCTGTTTGGGCCATTGGATCTCCCCTCGCTGTTCACCACCGCGTTAAATCCTGAGTGATCATCCGCTCGGTATTCGACAGTCCTCGTCAGGCCGTCCGGCTGCAGGAGGGAGTACTGGCCAAGAACAGCGTCCCCTCTGCGGCTCTCCTGCTGCCTCTTGTAGTCTCCGGTGTGGGCGGCGTTGACTTCGTAAGCGAAGTTGTAATTGGGCGTCGGGTCCTGGTACTGAAGTGGAAGGTAGAGCGGCAAGGGCGGCTGGTGCAGCACCATGCAGGTGGCTGACATGAAAAGCCCGAATAATAACACCAACTTCTGAACCATCTTGAGAACGGTGGATGCTGTTGATTGCAGTGCCGAAACCGGTATGATTGAGATCAGTGTTGTGCCGGTATATATAGAGGGAGAGTTGTAAAACAATACAAATTTCGCAATGAGTATTGTATATCGATATGAGTTAGAGCGCTAGACTGACAAATTGTTCAATACCTAGTGTCGGGTTCTCTCGTGAATCGATACAGTGCCCGGTGTCAATTCGTGGACATTTTAATACGCATTCTGCTCACCTTGACTGGATCGATTGAAAATCGACTCCCGCATATAAGAGCAACGTTTCTTTCCGTCTTTTAGTTACAAATAATGAAATAGATTGGATAATGAATAATTAAAAATATAAATTAGAAGTGTTAGATTTTCTTGGATTATCTATACTCATTATATCACGGATACTACATTCCTTATACTCACTCAGAATATTGATTCAAAGTAACAATGGGACTTTCTACAGAAAAATTAACAAAATAACTAAGCTTTGCTGTGTTTGTATGACGCAAGACGAGGCAGCTTACCAACAGATGTATGTGCTTATTTGTTTTATTTTTCTCGGTGCTATCTAATTCGGTATGCTACTATGGGATTCTGCTGGTCTAGACAATATTCGTAGGTATCAAAGTCATAACACAAGCGGTACGGTCTGCCCGTAAACTGGGCACGAACGCATCAGTACCTACGCTATAAGTTTTCTTAAGCATTTCAACGCTTCCATCGCTGTACATTTGAATATGTTTCCTTGAGAAAAGGAATATTATTTATATTCAAAAAAATGGTCACGCGTTTACTATTACACAACCATAGCCATATTTAAAACTTGCAACATTTCGGACCAGCTTGCGTCGAGCGTAAATCTAATAAAGAAAGTACGAATTTGAGTTCGAGATTAAGAATACGACAAAATTATCTTGTCATGTGTTAAACATATATTATGAGATTAAAATATATAAGCCTTATCGAAATAAGAGATCGGTATGTACCTATTGGACAGTAACTAAGTAAAAAAACATCATCGAAACAATTACAAAATAAAACAATTTTTAAGTAGATAAAATATGTTCAGATTTAGGCCGGTAAGGCAACCACCCGTTTAGCGTTAGACTTGGCTTCTCTTGCACATTTTTCTACGAATTTTTAATGTTTCATCGTAAGTGCAGACATTAGCACTATTAAAACTAATATTTTTATGCCATTTCACTTTCGCCCGGTTTCTGAAACACTGATCATCGTAGATGTTAACTAATAAGCTGTCAAATGGCTTTTCGAATTTCATTTTACTTGCCAAAAGCATGGTTAAACTCTCTCAATTGACCTGAATGATCTTCTTAATGATCAGAATTGATCTCGATGACTCCGTGGCGCAGTCGTCAAGGTGTTGGCTTCGGCGTCGGGTGTCGTTGGTTCGATTCTCACACGGGTCAACTATATTTGTGTGACCCAAAGATAGTTGTTTCGAATCTGGGTGTTTGTCCACGTGAAATTTATGTATGTAAAACGTCCTTGCAACACAGGATAATGTTATCCTAAAGTGATTTTGGTTTATGGGTTCTTTCACAACGGCTTTAGTGACTTAATAAAAGTAGGACGATTATAAGCTAGTATAATGATTCCTATGAGATAAAGTACATGCCTATGACATAAAGGATGAGTAGGATTTAAGGATTTCCGATTTAATCCGATCACGCATCGATACTTTGATAGTTTGCTTTTACGTGAAGCAGATGCGCCTTGTGGCCGCCTGAATATCGACGTTATCGACATTTCGAGCGGAGAGCAGCATAAAAGAGCATCGACATCGATATGTTGTTGAATTCCCTAGGGGCCGATACGGAGACGTGACTTTAGTCGGCGAGATATTGTCATGTGCGGTGTCGTCGTTACTTTCATTGCTTCCAAGCGATGCTTCACGGTTAACGCTTAAAGAGAAAACATTGATATCGATTTTTAAAGCGGCACTTCACGGGCGCTTTTCGATTATCGAATATCGATATTTTATGAATCTATATTTGGAGTGCTTTATGAAGGAGAGGCATAAAATAACTCTTTAATCCTTACAAAATATTTATGATGTTTTGAACGTAAGCTACGGATGGTAGTGGGGATATGGGGACGATTAATTTTTATTAATCCTCACTAATATTATAAAGGCGAAAGGTTGTATTTTTTTTTTTTTTTTTATGGGAAAAAAGCAGCAAACGAGCAGGAGGCTCACCTGATGGTAAGTGATCACCGCCGCCCATGGACATCTGCAACACCCGAGGGCTTACAAATGCGTTGCCGGCCTTTTAGGAATGAGTACGCTCTCTTCTTGAAGGTTCCCAGGTCGTAACGGTTCGGAAAGACCGCCGGCGGCAGCTGGTTCCACAGAGTGGTTGTGCGAGGCAGGAAATGCCTTGAAAATCGCGCTGTTGTGGAACGCTGGACATCGAGGTGGTGTGGATGAAATTTTTGGTTTTGGCGCGATGTCCGATGGTGAAATTCAGCCGCTGGGATCAATCCAAACAATTCCTCGGTACACTCCCCGTGATAGATGCGGTAGAAGATGCAGAGTGACCCAACATCTCTACGCATAGCCAAAGGATCAAGCTGATCGGAAAGACCTTGATCGTCGATAACCCTAGCTGCCCTACGTTGGATGCGGTCAAATGGAAGAAGCTGGTAACAGGGGGCTCCCGCCCAGAGGTGAGAGCAGTACTCCATGTGGGGCCGAATTTGCGCCTTATAAAGGTTTAGGCGTTGAGCCGACGTGAAGTACTGTCTCGCCTTGCTGAGCACACCGAGCTTCTTTGAGGCCAATTTGGCCTTACTTTCCAATTGACCGCGGAACTGGACATTGCTCGAGATTTCGACGCCAAGTATTCCGATACTAGCTGTGACAGACAAGGGAGTGTTCTCAAAATGAGGAGTCACGACAAATGGGGACTTTTTAGCGGTTAACGCGCAAACTTGTGTCTTATCGGGGTTGAATTGGACTAAATTTAGTCGACCCCAGTCTGAGACTTTTGTTAACAAAGTCTCGACTTCAGACACAAGTTTCTTCCGGCTCTCGTAGACGTTTTCCCGAGAAATGTTAGCACGGCCTGTGTACGAAACATCCACAGTGCTATCATCCGCATAGCAATGAACGCTGCTGATTTGCAACATATCATTGATATGCAGAAGAAACAAAGTGGGGGACAGTACGCAGCCTTGTGGAACACCAGCATTGACAAATTTAGGATCAGAGCATGCACCGTCGACGACGACCTTGATGCTCCGATCTGCCAAAAAGCTAGTGATCCAGTTGCATAACTTCCCGGGAAGCCCATAGGAAGGCAGCTTCGAAAGAAGTGCTTTGTGCCACACCCGATCAAAGGCTTTCGCTACGTCCAGACTGGCTGCAAGCGCCTCCCCCTTGCTCTCAACTGCTTCTGCCCATCTGTGTGTCAGGTAAACCAGAAGATCACCGGCTGAGCGACCTCGACGAAAGCCGTACTGGCGGTCGCTAATCAGCCGGTGCTCCTCTAGGTACCGCAGGAGCTGGCAGTTAATGATGGTCTCCATTATCTTGGAGAGCAAGGAGGTGATGGCTATAGGCCTGTAGTTGGACGGATCCGAGCTGTTGCCTTTCTTAGGGATCGGGTGCACTAAAGCGGCCTTCCAGGTTTTTGGGAATACGCCTAGAGTATAGGAGAGCCGGAAAAGACGCGTCAAAACCGGTGCCAACTCTGGAGCACATGTCTTCAACACGATCGGAGGGATGCCATCGGGCCCACTCGACTTATGAATGTCCAAGGAAAAGAGTGCTCTGCGAACTGCACTTTGCCGAAATTGAACCTCCGGCATCGTAGCATCGCAACGCGGGATTGTTGGTGGTAATTTTCCTCGGTCATCCAAAGTCGAGTTGGACGCGAAGAGAGAGCCCAGAAGATCGGCTTTCTCCTTCGCGGCATGGGCCAGCGAGTCATCCTCCGTGTGCAGGGGTGGAAAAGAAGGCTTACAGAAATTTCCCAAGACAGCTTTGGCGAGAGACCAAAACGCACGTGTTCCCGTTGGGAGACGCGCCAATCTCTCGCCAATTCTGCCAATGTGTTCCGATTTCGCCTTAGCAATAACACTTTTGAAGGACCTAGAGGCAGAGTTATACGTCTTTTTTAAAGCGCTGGTTTTTACATCACTAGACGACGAAGCGTCAGCCCAAGCCTGGTAGCATTCCCGCTTTCGGCGTAATGCCAACTTACAGGAGCGACCAAACCAAGGCTGCGACTTGCCACCAATGGGCACTGCAGAGAACGGAATAAAGAGTTCCATACCTTGAAGCACCACATCAGTCACTGAGTCAGCAACGACGTCTGGATCATCCGGCGAGAAGCAAATCTGCCCCCATGGGTAGGACGCAAAGAATGACCGCATCCCATCCCAATCTGCTGACCTATAATGCCATACGCGGCGGCAGCCCGCAAAGTGAGGCCGCGTTAAGCGCGTTATTGGCACTGTGCTTCGGACAAGACAGTGGTCCGACGAGCCGAGGGGAGGATCGACGGAAACCAAGTATCCGTCCGGATGAGAGGTCAACAGAAGGTCCAACAGGGAAGGTGTATGATCCTCCACATCTGGGATTCGCGTTGGCGAGGTAACCAGTTGTGTCAGATCATATGTCAATGCGAAATCGTGAGCAGATCTCCCCGCGTGGTCGGTGGTACGAGATCTAAGCCACTCGGCGTGATGAGCGTTAAAGTCGCCGAGAATTACGATCTCCGCGGATGGGATCTGCTGCAACACGGAATCTGTAGCCATTTGTATGTGCTCAAAGAGTCGGTCAGTTTCGGCATTACCGCTATGGGACCTATACAGACACGTGTAGATTCGCGGATGGTCGTCGCAGTCTACGCGTAGCCAGAGTATGGATAGGTCCCGTCCTTCAAGAGCATCGAGGCGACGAGAGCATATATCCTCTCTGACGTACACGCACACCCCAGCCCGCGGCACAAAGGAATGTTCCAGTTTGTACCCCG